TCCTTCCCTGCTATGGTGACTCAATTGTTTTCAATGTGAAGGTGTCTCCAGGCACTAAAGTTTGTATTTAAAATCAGCTAGAACATTCATAAACACCCTTGGCACAAATATCTAATGCAACAAGTGAACACAGTCATTAGCATCCCTTGAATGAGACGGTAACGCTGGGCTTAAGGCAACTGAAGGAGACAGAGGTGAAAACCTTTCTTCCAAATATGCCATGAGAATATCACAAATCATTGACAACAGAACAGCCTTTGGCACCTATAACAGATATTTTCCTGAAAAATGCCATATTTTCAACCCACATTAACACTCTGTGGAACAAAAGGCAAATCCAGTACAAATAACAATCGAAGGGAAAAGTCCAAGCCATTTTGCATGTACATTTGAATAAGGGTCAATTTTATTTCACGAGTCTGCTCTTGGGATGGCCTGTTTCCTTTAAGGCTTTCTATATGTTTCTGGATGGGATGACAAGTGAATGACAGCGGAGCTGACAGCTCTATTAGCTGCAGAAACAGGATGGGCGAACACTGCATTGTATCACCTCTGGATAATGAGCTGAATTTCTGACTGCAACCCAGATTCTTGCAGGACAAGCCGCAATGTGACAGGTTAGTCGTAGATGAAGCAACACAACCTGAGGACTTCTTTTGTTTCCAGGACCTTTACTAGCATACCTACTATATATAGCGCAAAGAGGCAGGAAAAGTCCTGCGTAAGACCTCTAGGCTCAGCGGAAAGCAGATTTCAGTTACTTGCAAAAGGCTTCCCAGGCAAGCCTTTGAGCAAGATGCTGTGGGTGTAATCATCCCAATGTTTTCCCCTGGCAGCACTCCATCCTAACATGTCTGCAGGCCAGGTTGCTTATTCCTCACCTTTCCCTTCCCACTTGCACCACAGCTCAGGGGACCAGAGTTACTGTAGGGGTGCAGAGGGGGTTGTTGTCTCAGTTTCTACTCCAGGATCTTTCTGTTCTCTTGTTACAAATCAAGAAAAGCAAGACAGGAGTCCCAGGGAAGAGCCAGGCTGCATTCCTACGTCCTGGCATGCTGCAGGGATGGGGGCAGGTCCGTGTGTAAAGGCATTAGTATGGGATGATCAAATGTATTTATACCACAGCATCTGAGTCAGAGGTGGTGTTTGCCTACAGCCAGGAAGCTCTCTGTTTGGGAGTTACTGGTATTCAGTGCATTCAAACCAACATTGTTTTTCCCCTATTAAAACATACACTTGAATCATAACAAGCTATCCAGACGTGCGCTGTTGCTAGGCTTGCCTAAAACATTGGCAGTTGCTCTTTTTTGTCTCATCTTGCTTGGTTAGCAAGGTAGAAACCTGCTTCTTCCAAGTTTTTCCAGAGAAATGCTTAACTGTGGAGAAATGTCTTCCCTTGTCTTCCCTTTCCTTGCTTGTGAAAAAACTTGTAAATAAGAAGGATTTAAAAGAAGAGAAAGAAAAAATTTTTTTTAAAAAGCACACAAAACCCCAAAACACCAATATTTTTGTTTCTATGCTGAGGTGGTATTAAAATCACGATTTACTGGGGGGAAAAAAAAAAAGAAAAATATCCAAGAGAATTAACGTATTCCAAGAGATATTTAGGCTATTATCTTTGTGGAAAAAAACATTTTTTTTGTGGAAAGGTTTTAAACCTCTTTTATTAGGTATTTAATATATGGCAAAAGTCAAGAAGGTAACAGAAAAAGGCTTTCTATTATGTGGAAGCATGGAGACAGACACACAATAGGCATAGGGACAATATTGTTTGCCATATTCCTAACTCAGATCCTTGTCAGTGCTGCAAGAGAGTGAAAATCCTTGTAGGATTCTTTAAATTCTTTCATATAACATCTCTTAGCACCCATTCTCTCCCTGCATTAACACAATTCACAACACATTCAACCAAAAAAAAAAGTTATTTCCATTGTTTAGTTTATAACTTAAGTCCAAAAGATGCAGAAGGGCCTCCATTTGTGAAATGGTGAAAATAAAATTAATGGGGAAGCGGGAGGTGCTACTGGTTACCTTTCAACTATTCTCTTATTAGATGTACTAAATATACTTCTCAAACATACTTTCAGATGGAGAGTACTGGAATTGCTGTATCTCTGCAGAGAAAGAAGAGGGAAAAAATCGCATGTTGATCTGAGAAAAGCAGATACGGAAGGTGATCCATAGGACTAAAGAGTGACAAGAAATTCAGAAACTGCAAGACATTAATGAGATGTATTGATTTAATTAGCCAGCTTAACATCATTTATCATGCTAACCACAAGAGACGTGCCCATAAAAGCTAGTGTTTGAAGGTCACAGGCATATGTAACATACCTGCTATGCTACACAAATGGCCAGCTGTGGAGATCTGTTTTACTTAGACTTGGAAAGAAGTTATTGAAAGACAATTTTGAAAAGCCTCCATATGAATAACACAGTGCTATATGTTGTAATTGGTCCATTCATCCTCTTAATAATCTGGAGTTTCTGGATTCCCAATGTTTAGTGTATTTAAACGTCAGAGGTAAACAATAAGGACTTACTTAAATAGTGGTATCTGTAACAAAGTTGGAATCCTCAAGTTTCAGGACATTTTATTGTTTTATAACAACAGGTTCATGCCTGCCAGTCTTTTCTCCCTACTGCCTCTGCCTGTTCATTATTCAGGAAAGAACTTAAATAATGATAAGACTCCAAAAGAATTCTCAGTAGCAAAAAGCTTCTTAAGGACTCATTTATGGGCTCAGCTACATAGGGGTAAGATTCAAGTACCCTGATGAAATGAAAAGAGTTCCTGAGGATACATGTCAGCATAAATGAGAGCTTAATTTGGCCCTAAATTAGAAACTCTCTGTCAGCTGGGGGCTCAGATATCCTACAGCATTCAGTACTGCCCCTCTGACACTGGGTATTTTTCTGTCTAATTGGAATCTCCTTACCTTAGTGTGAAATTATTAATTTTTTTTTAAATTAAGTTTTTAATGCCATTTTCATTTTCTGACTTATAAAGCTTGTGAAAAGTGTTTTGTAAGTGTTTATATTTGTTTCAGCTTTTAAGCAGTGCACAAAGCTGTTACGCTTTCCTAAGCATGTATTTCTTTAATTGAAACTCCTATTTAATAAAAGACATAATAGGACCCATGTTTATTAATTTCTTCATCCACCTTCCTGCTAGGAAGAATTAGAAAGGCAGCCCCCCCAGGAGCATACACTTTCCACACCCTCTATGTGCTGGCCTGGAAGCACAGCTTTGCCCCTGATTGCATGAACCCTTGACAAGGGGAATCTCAGGTAGCCTGCAACAACATGAAACTTTGCAAAGCAAAAGCCCTCCTGCATTTCAGGGGGTGGGAAAGTGTTCAGCACTAACACCTACACGAGTGATAATCAACACGGGTTCGGACTCGGCTGCAGTGACTTCTGGCTTGCGCACACTTCGGATGCCTCAGAGTTGAACAAGGATGTTGGAAATTAGAGCCCGCTCACAGCTTTTTCAGTAAGTCTATTTCTGCTATATTTAAACTTCCTTTACAGTGGCTGCACAAGGGAGCCAGAAGGATGTTTTCTGCTACAGAGAGAAGGGGGGGTTATGTTGGTTTTGCTCCGTTACATGCGGAACACAGAGAGATGAAGCCTTAATATAGTTCTTCTATTTCTTCTCTCTTTGTCCCCTTCACCCCTGCTTGTTACCTTTTAAAGTTTCCTTTGGGGTAATTTAAACATTTTTTTTTTAAAGTTAGCACAGTACTAAAGGACCATTTCTAGCACAAAATGGCCAAAGTAATTGCCCAGGGAAGCTGGTGTTACTTTCAGAGGTTAGAGGGCTATGTTCCGACTGACATAAGAGAAACAGGTTGCACAGACATAGGAGTATTTGCATGGTGTGTTAATAGCATGAAAGGAAAAAGCCTGGCTAGTACGTTTTTAGCAAGAATGCAGGCAGTCATTGGGGCTCACTGGAAGAGTTCAGCCTTTAGCTTTCTAGCCTGTTTAATGTAATATTTGTTTTAGGACCCTGCCTTACTCTTCAGGTGTTGTTTCTCTTGTGGGGTACTCAAGTAGCAAGGGAACATCAGCAAATATGTGAAATTTTGTCTGATACTATCTATATGAGGGACAGGGCACTTCTTTGCCTGCACCTCTGTTAAACCTTCCTATATTACATACCCTTCCTAACGACCTGTAGGATGTTCAGCCCACATAATACAATGAAGCTCAGATTATACAAAAATAGCACATACTGAGAATGAGAAGTCACCTCTTACTCTTCAGTCAGTGGCAACAAGGATAGACAGCATCCCTCCTAGGTCCTAGCAGCTGCCTGTAAAAGAAGGGACACCCCTGGCAATTTATCTGAGCATCTGGACTGCAGCTTTTCCACTTTGGAAAAGGGGCCTCCTAGAATCCCTTGCAAAGACAGGATTGTTGCCCCTTTTGCAAGGCAAGCGTTAGATCTGGATGGCAGAGGTAGAATTACATCTTTAAGGCTAATCCTTGCTCCTTTATCTGAGGCAGGAAATTCCAAATCTATCATCAAAGCAACACACATACTGCATAACCCATTTAACTTTTTGTTTTTCAAGCAGATGGATTAGAACAAAACAAGCAGTGCACATTTTAAGAAGACTGGACACTATTAATGCCAACTCTGTGAGAGTATAAGTAAGCTGCTGCAGTTTAACAGAAAGCGGAATTTCCTAGACTAGCATAAACTAATGGCTCATTGGCTAAAATAGATCTGCAGTCTCCGTTTGCTGTAGAAGCCCAGCTACTCTGCTGCTCCCAATGAAAGAACGATTGCAACTACGATAAACACCCTGGGATCGTCAAAAATATGGGAAGATATCAGCTGCTGTTAAACAGTGTAGAAATAACACAGTAGTGAAACTAATAAATAAATACAAACAGGTTTAAGGCGTCCTCTTTAGAAACACTATCCTATGGGTTAAAGATCTGAAGATTTAGCTTTTAACAGTTCTGGCATACAAGGAACCCATCCTCTCCCCTGTGTAAGTGCTTCAGTTCTTGTTCCTGGCTACATAAATCACAGGCAGGGTAAATGCGTTACGAGTTAAGAGAAGGAAATAATATGATCTCCTAGCAGACACTGGGAACAACAGCTTTTCACATACGTGCCAAAATGCCACGCAACTATTAGTATGAAACAAGATACACCTTCTTTTACAAACAGTCTATAGCAAATTCATATTTTATCTATTAAATCCTTGACTGCTTACCCCAAAACTCACAGCCTTTAACACGTTTCTCCTTGTAACACCTCTTTCAAGACTAGACTGTGCTTTTCTCCCATTTTATAAGTGCAGGTGAGAGACATAGCTAGGGACAGGTACAGATGAGCAAAAAAGAACGAGATGCCCAAATCCCAGAATGCCAGCCACAAAGCCCCAGGATATCCAGTTACACTGGGCAAAAGCCATAGCACTAAGAGATGAAAAAAGTCTCTGCTCTGATATAATTTGGCAGTGAAGAAGGGTTGACGGAGTCCATAGATGCTCCTGACAGGTAACAACTCCCTTGGGACAGTGGATACACCTGAAAGTGGGAGACAAACAGATAATGCAACATTGACCATGTTGTCCACATCTTGTGATCACAAATCAGTTTTCTGTTGACAAGGCTCATTTTTCATGGCAGCATCTTTGTCTCCAAGCCTTTGCCAAACAGTTATAACTTCATCAGTGCATTCGGGAATACATTTAACAAAATTGCCTTTTGCAGAAGTGAGATAGTACCAAAGCAATGCAATTCTGGAAAACAACAACACAGAAGGAAGGAGAAAAGCTATCTGGAAAAACCAGTGAAGATGGCCCTCAATTTCCTATTAAAACACCCCAGTGCATTGTTGCTTGCCTGTTATTCTCTTTATGAATTACAGTAAAATGAAATTACCAGAGTTCTGCAATGTGTGCAACACCATTTCATTAGAAGGATAAGAAGTCAAAATTGTGCTTTATTACCAACAAACTATCTCAGTATTAAGACTGCTCATATGTGACCTTTAATCTTGAATTCTTCATGAAATCAGATGCACAAGATACTATTATTTGAAGTAGTGGCCCAGTCCTTGAAGCTGTATAGGAAATGTCTAAACACATGACAAGCTCAGATTTCCTTAATGCTTTCCTCTAAATAATCAAAAGCCTTTTCATACATATCATCAAGAACTTAAACCCATGCTTAGATTATGTGAAAAAAACTTCAAGGCAGAAAATACCAAATGTAAATTTGCATGTGTCCTTTTGTGCATTACTGTATCATCTTTGATTAGAGGATCGTATTAAATTAATAACTAATAATAGCC